GTGATAGGTGATCATGCAGGGAGACTGGCCAGCACTTGAGTGGGTCAGCCTTGCCATTCCCAACAGGAGTTAACAAGTAACATATGAGACAGGTGTTGTGAAAACACCCTGAATAGACACGGCCATTCCTGTACAGAAATGTTGATGAAGGTCCGGTGTGGGTTGTGGGGCTGTGAGGGATCCTGTGGACGTGCAAATCCCACAGCCACACTGGGCCCCTTAGTTTCTAAGGAACTAGCAGGTCAATAAAGCCAAGGAAATAATTTTAAAGAGTCTCACAAGGTGTCCATTAGGCTTCCTGCATAGGGCCTCCAACTAGCAAACTGAAAATTATAAGAAACAATATGTAATGATGGTGATGACGATGATGATGGTGATGGCACATCGCCAGTTCTAGAAGCACCACCAAGCACACAAAACGTGGGAGTTGCTTAACCAACAAGGCTATGCTAAGACAGTACTGCTGCTGCTAGAGGCATGCCGAGATGCAATCATTTCCCAAATTGCTGGGAATAAAGATAAGTGTACATCAAATTATTAACTAATGTGACACAAACATGTAAGCCAAATATATCGAGAGGTTCAGACATGAGATGTTGCTTACATTCTGACTAGTTTACGGGACTCCACATCCCCAATGTTGTTGCTGTCAGGTGCTGTCTAGGTGGCCCCCAACTCATGGTGACCCCATGTACAATGGCCCAGGCCTGTGCCATTTCCATGATCGGTTATGGACCAAATCATTGTGATCTTCAGGGTCTCACGGGCTTATTTTTTGGAAGTAGATTTCCTGGTCTTTCTTCCTAGTCCTGACATATGTGTGGTGGCTGTGTGTGAGGTACATTGGCTAGGAATCAAACCCAGATCTTCCACATGGAAGGTGAGAATTGTCTCCCTGAACCACCATTGCCCCACACCCCTGAACAATAAATAAGTTTTCTGTTAGCTTATCAACCTTGCAGTCTCCTGGTACAGCAAATGCTACAAAGCCCAAATTCAAGCGTCTGTTTCCTTGAGCAATGACACTAAACCAAGGCTGCCAAGAGCACCTAGAGCCTGCCCACCAGCCTTGTTAGATTCTGCCAGTAAAGAGGTCCCCGGTGCAGTTGAGAGCTGAGCAGGCACTTCCATGTGAGATTTGTTGAGTTTCCTTGGAAGTGCACAATCTGATTTAGCCTTCCTGTCAGACAGCCTCAGAGTCAATATTAACTATAGCTGGCTAATTCAAAATGTTTTAACTTTGTTCTTAAGCCAGAAGTAATATCTGCTGAGGCTACTCAGAAAAGGAGATGTTTGCTTAGGAGGTGTAGGAGGCGCCCCTGACAACCTTGGGGATCCACGCCAACCACTTAGATCCTGTCCAACTCCGTCGGAAGATGGCACAACAGGCTGTTGAAAGGGCTGGAGGCTTGTCAAGGCTCCATCATCCCTGCACTATTTGATGCACACTGGAAGCATATTTCAAGTCTTAGCAGAATGCAACTGCCCTGGTCAGCTTGCCGTCCTTTTGCCCAAAACAGGCCCACCATGGGGTCCACCCTCTGTGAGCCCTGGTTCACTGTACAGAAGCTATTGCCCACTCACTTGGCACTGTGCCCCTCAAAAGAAACTTTTAAACAAAAAAAAAGTGCCAAGTGTCAAAATGAACATAATCCTTTGTTTTTATAAGCAGACATGCCTGCCATATTGCCACCAGTACTGATTCCCATTGAGTTGACTTCAACTCATGATGACACATGGTATATCAGAGAACTCTGCTTCATAGGGTTTTCAATGACTGATCTTTTGGAAGTAGATCTTTTGGCCTTTCTTCCAAGGTGTCTCTGGGTAGATGCAAACCTCCAACCTTTTGGCTAGCATGTTAACAGTTTGCACCACCCAGTCTCCTGCCCTGTTGCTGTTGTTGTTAGCTGTCACCGAGGTAGTCTCAGACTAATGGTAACCCCGTGTACAACAGGATCGGACCATTATGATTCATAGGGTTTTCAGCGACTCATTTTTGGAAGTAGATCACCAGGCCTTTCTTCCTAGTTCATATTAGTCTAGAAGTTCCATGAAAACCTGTTTAGCAACATGCAAGCCTCCACTGACAGATGAGTGGCCACCACACATGAAGTGCATTGGCCGGTAATAGAACTGGGGTCTCCTGCATGGAATGTGAGAATTCTACCACTAAAGCACAACTTTTGCACACCAAGAGTTTGCTTGAGAAATTCTTGCAAAAGCTTTTTTTAAAGCAGTCTCAGAGAACATCGTGGGAGGACTGAGAACAGTGAGTGGGGCTAGGGCCACCAGAGGGGAAAAATCAGTTGGAAACAGACCTGGATGTTGAGATTCCTAGCGAGCTAGAAGAGTGAAGCACTTTGGGGAAGGTAGGCTTGCCCATGCTCCCACCCCGTTCCCAGACTAGGCCGCTGTCCCTACGGCTCAACGAGGGGACTCTGCATGTGCCTGGAGAAGGCCCATGCCTTAGTGCTTTGTGTGGGGCTGAATGCAAGGGCTCACACTGTGCTCTGTTCAGATTCTAACATCCAATGACCCTGGTGGACACAGCTTCTGAACGAAGCAGCTCAGAAGAAGAGAGACAGACAAACCGGGGAAAAGAGTCAAGGTTTGTCCCCAAAACATTTTATTTAAATATTAAATTAAAAAACACACATCAACTAATCATTTGGCATACATTTCTCATTTTATATTAAGAAATAAAATAATTCAGGTAGGGTTTTAAAAAAAAAAAACCAACAACAAAACACATAACTATATACATCTCAGATCGCATAGTGTCTTTAAATAGGCGATTGCTGTTGCAGGACTATCAGGGAATCTACAAAACACACAACACACATACTTAAAAAAAAAAAAAACCACGACACTCCTGTCCTCCAACAGAGGTTCTACGGCAAGAAGAAAAAAGGAAAAAAAAAAAAAGAAAGAAATTAAAGTGCTTGTCATTGCTTAAAAGAGGAAACACAGGATGGATCTTGAGACCTTTGATCTCGGGCACAAACAGAAAATTATTTTAAAAAGGGGAAATGATGTTCTGAGTTGGAATCAGTTGTGCTACCTCTGTAAAAACGAAGGCATGGGCCCGGACTGCCCCAGCAGGGTGGAGATTCTCTCTCCCATGCTGGAAACTTCTTTATAAGTTAGTGGGAGACTTTGGTGTTTTCACTGTGGCCAGGTACCAGGGCCACCCACAAAGGATGGTCCTTGGACCTGAATCTTTGATGTAGCCACAGAGCAGCAGCGGTTAACAGTAGCAGCAAACTTGGCTGACAGTAGAGAAACAGGTGTGCAGGCCTGAGTGAGCCCAGGTCAGGACAGCACCAGCATCCCCATCCACCCAGCCATTCTCCCCACCCTCAGTAACTCGGTCAGTCTTTGGCTTTTAAAAATTTCCACCTTTCTCTCTTCCCTAATGACCTTTGTTGAATACTGCAGGTTGTAAGAAGCCAAAGTAATCTGAAGGCACCTGGATTAGGCAAAGGGAGGGGACTTGGCCACAGCAGAGCAAGTGTGAAGTGGCAATTTTCCTTTTTGAATTCAAAGAGGGTTTGACTGACAGAGGCCCTACATGGTTTACCTCAGGCAAACTGCTGCCTCTGAGCCCAGTGCCTTGAGGGGAAGAAGGACCCTGCAGCCCCTCCCCAAAACAAAACAGGTCCTAAAGCAAACATTCCTTAACATTACCAGAGAGGGAAATTGAAACTAGAAACACAAAAGTATAGTAAAAAATATAAAAAATAAGTAGTGTGTATTTGTATCCTATTTATATACATATACAGTGTTTGTTTAAAAAAACGAAAAAGGCTTTAAAAACACTGACCTAGACATTATCTCATTTTCCTTGAACAAAAGCCAAACGATCAGGACCCACCAGGTCCTGGCCCAGAGGGCAGGGGTCTGTTGCCCCAATTCTCCCCCGTCTCAGTCCGTACAATCATAGCCTGGCAATATTGCACGTTCCCCCAGAGTCGGTTGTTCGTTTTTGGACCCTGATAATGAAATGCATAAAAGCGTAATTAGCAGCGGAAATAAAATGTGCAGCACGAAGAGAATGCACCCCTCTGGCTCCTCAAAGGGGCAGGGGGGTTTCCCACCAAGTGACCGCCAGGGCTGGGGGGTGGGGAGAGGAGCACAGCCAATGCCTGCCTAGCCCCGCAGCACCCCCAGCCCTATCACTCTTGATCCTCTTGTGACTCCTATGAAGAGCCCCGGAAAACCAAGCGAGCAGGTTATATAAACTTCTCGTCAAAAAGAAGGGAAAACAAAAACAAAAACAAAAACTCTACTCTGGGTTCTGATTTCAGGGAAAGAGAATTCCAAGAGTTTGTCAATAATCCTCTCCTGGGCTATTTTAGCTTTTTAAAAACCAATACACAAAGCAGAAAGTTCACAGTTTTCATTCAAAGCATTAATTTTTCAGGAAGTGGGGGATTTTTAACTACTTAAAAGAAAAGATACTAACCAAGGTGTGCACGTACACATACACATGCACACGCACACACACGCTTAGCAATGCCCACTTTTGTCCCGGTAGATGCATGGTTCTTGTCACCATCTCCTCAGAGGTAACCACCTCCATGCCCATCCAGGAGCCTGTGACAAGGGCGCCCCTGCTCCAGCCCTCTATCACCATCTCTAAAGTCATCTCCATCCACAGAGGGACAAGGGCTGGACCAAAAGAGACCAGTCCTTTCTCCATCAGCCTTCCCTTCTTCCCCACCCTGCCCATCCACCCACCCCAATGACACACCCCTCAATTATTATTTTTTTTCTGGAAATTTCCAGTCCCTACTCATAGTCGCAATTGTTCAGTGCAATAAAAAAGTAAAGCAAATGAAAAAAAAATCAACAAAATAGCCCAAACACCTAACGTATTGCTTATTTCGCTTCCAGAAAGTTATTGGCTTTGACTCTGAAAACGTCTTCACATCTCTGAAATTATTGCTTCAAAGAGTCAGTAGTGGCCGGTGCCAGCAAGCGCCATGCCTGCACCCTCACTGCACCAGCACGAAGGTGCCCAGCTGGCCCACAGTAAGGTCCTCCATCTCACAGTCTCCCTGCGCCAGCCCTGTGGGCTCAAAGCCAGGGGGCAACACAGCAAAGTGGGGCTGCGGAGTCGTGATGGGGGCGAGGGGCACTGCAGCAGAGCTGATGTGCAGGTGGGCATCCAGGAGCTGGGCTGTTGAGGCCATGGGGGAGGCAGTGGCTGAGAAGAGATGGGGCGGCAGGAGTGGGCTGGCCCCCAACACCAGCTCCTTCTGGAGTCCTGCCACCAGGAGGGTACTGGAGAGCGAAGGAATGCCAGAACTGTCACAGGAGGCGAGGACGTAGGGAGTCTGGGGTGGTGGGGGCACCTGTGGGCAGCTGGGCTGGGCTGTCGGGTGGTGCTGTAACTGGAGCAGCCTGGGGGAACAGGAGGGGAGGAGAGGCAGGTCACTCCCTGCTCTTCCACTGCCCCCACCCTAGTGAGCCATTTCCACATCAGCTTGCAGACACGATCGGGTTTCCGTGCTGCCCGTGTGTAAGAACTCGCCTTGTGGAACTGCTGGCTGGAGCCCATCAAAGCATGCAATGCTATGTGTGACTAATCCCCTGAGCAATTTCTGACATTTCCATTCTTCATCTTGCTTTTATAGGAACACGGAGATGTCAACCATACGTGACATTTTTATTCACCGCCACCCTCAGTCCCCATGTAGGGGCTTCAGAATGACAGAGCCTGGTGTGCCCCACCTCCTCCTACCCCAGATAGGGCAAGTGAGGCCCTGAACCTAACAAGCTTCCCTAAACTTGGGGGCTGGGAGATGTGCATGCCCCAATTACATGGAGAGATCAGGTTACTTAAGAGAAAAACCTCTCTGGGACAGTAAGGGCAGCCCAGGGCCTCATACCTCTGTTGGTGGAGCACCTCTTCAAGCAGATTCCAGCCCTCCCGGCAGTTGCCTCCGCTGCTGTATGGGCCAGTGCTCTGTGCTGGGAGTGGGAAGGGGTTCAGGCCACCCCGTGGAGCCCGGCTGGCAGAGGAGGGTTGACACACTTGGCGGGCCAGCCCCTTGATCTTGTTTAGTCCCAGAAATCCTTTGGTCCTGGCATTCTTCCTCAGTTGCTGTCGAAAAGCTTTCAACCCTGGGAAGAGAAAAAAAATCGAAGTGTCTGTATACAGACCCTGCCTCTAAACCCAGGGTCAAAGGCCCTTGGCTTATGAGGTGCTCCACAGCTTGCAGAGGAGGTCAGAAAAGACAGACTACGCGAACATGATTGTATAAAAGGACTGTCATTCCTAAAGGGTTAAGGAGCATTCTTCGTCACCTGATCACTTGTCACAACCACCACCCCCTACCCAGGGTATAAGGTTGGGCAGCAAGTCCTGCAGAGACATGTCTGAGCAGACCATGGCTCTTCTGGAGGGAGGGCATAAGCAGTGCAGGGGCACACAGGCACTCCAAACCCTGGGGTTGGCCCAGTGGGGCTGTTTTTGTTGGTGGATCCCTCCCCAAGCTCTCCCTTCATCCAAGTCAGGAGCTGTACCCAACCCCAAAGCATCTCTTTCTTTCTCAGGACCAACTGACAAGAGGCACCTGCACAAGGCCCCAAGGTCTGAGCTCACGCATTAAGGCCAGGACCAGCCTGCACTGCCATGAACCCCACTCAAACTGGATAAAAACCATAAAACCAAACTAGTTGCCCTGAGTCCATTCCAACTCATGGAGACCCCGAGTGTCAGAGTACAACCATGCTCCATAGAGCTTTCAGTGGCTGGTTTTTGAAATTCAGACTGCCAGGCCTTTCTTTCAAAGCACCTCTGGGTGACCTCAAACTTTGAATCTTTTGGTTAGCAGGCAAGCATGTTAACCAGGGACTCTTTCCAAGCTGACTAGGGAGTGGGAAATGCCATTTGCCACCAGGGACAGAGTTATGCCCATTACAGACATGGGGTTTCTAGGGAAAGGGGAGGCAGGTAGGAAGGGAGCAATTACCTTGGGTGAGTGAAGTATCTGAGGCCCTCCGTCCTTCCTGAAAGCTGACAGGGAGTGGGACAGCACTGCCTAGGCCCCCCTGTGCCTGCAAGACTGGGGTGGCAGACTGGGCCCCCAGGCATGGTGCGGCCACTCGGACAGGTGAGCAGGTGCCCTCCAGCCCCTGGGCAACCAAGCTGCTGAGCCCCACAGGGCCGTTGCTTGCTGAGAAGGTCAGGCAGCTGTCAGAGCTGGTTCCTTCAGAAGGGCCCACTGCTGCGGCACAGGAGGAGGAAATGACAATGCCTAGAGGAAAACACAGCATTTTTAGACAGGCCACAAGGGGATCTATAGGCCCTATTCTGAAACCTGAGCTCAGTAAGGGCAGCAGGATAGACAGCTAACCTGGCCTTCTCCCCATCTCAACCCCTAGGCCTGGAGGGAAAGGGCATCTGCCAATGGCCAGGGGCCACAGAAGTCCTGGGAGCCTCAAGGGCAAGCTACCATGGGGCTGCAGGTGGCAGGTGATTTGTGCAGGCCAACAACTTACCCTGCCACCCATCAGAGTGCCACAGGGTGATCACTGGTACAGACTAAGCTTCATACCACCTTCTCCACTCAAACAGCCACTCTGTATATAGTGAAGTATGACTGGGTGGCCTCAGGGACTAAATCACACAACAGACCCTGAAAACCTTCATCAGAAGAGGGTGCTGGCAGGAAAGGTTCATAAATAGCCACAAGCCCTGCCATCTGGCCCTGTCTCCACAGGTGCCAAGCCCAGGACACTTACATGGAGGGATACTTGGGGAGAAGTGGGTGGTGACCTCGGCCAGTGTGTGCCGTCGGCCTGTAGCACTGGGCAGGGGCTTCTGTGCCTTCAGTTCCTCCTCTAGGCCCTGGCCCTGCCTGGCCTCCTCACTGATGGCTGTGTCAAGCAGGCTACTTGGGGAGACAGAGCGGTGTCGGAACATTCCATCACAGCTGGCATCCATGGGGAAGAACAAGGGCTGTGGCAGACCGAAATAAACCAGTTACTTCTTGGGTCTTCAGACAGACCTGGATGTGTTGTGGGGGGCCACCACCACTAACCCACAGGGCGTGCATGGAACCCCCAGGAACCGTCTCACCACAGAGCTCACCTGGAGTGAAGTGCTAAGGTCGCAGTCCATCTCAACCTGTAGGACGGACTGTGCCAAGGTCTGGGGTTGCGGGCAGAACAGGGGTGAGTGGAGAGGGTCACTGGTGAGGCCCTCCTGAGGCACCTGGGTGGGGGATAAAAAAAACAAGCCCATCTGAGCAAAGGGCTCACAACTCTAGGGGGTTGGTGCCAGGCAGAGAGGTGGGAACCAGAGGGGACTCACTGTCCTCACCTCAAAACCACTGAGCTCAGAGCTCCTGGGCCTGGGCTGCCGAGTAGGCCCTGGGCGAGTTGGCAGCTGGGAGCTCCGATACTCCTTCAGCCGCTCGAGGAGGAGGTAATAGATGGCAGCAAAGTGGTTATAGCTGCTATTCTGTAATGACTGTGAGACAGAAAGAGAGGTTAGTATGAAGGTATAGAGAACAAAGCCATGACTTGCAGGTCCAAGAGGAGTGCCTTAGACACATCCGCATTGATCCATGAGCTTCCTTGTAAGACTCAATCCCCAGTGCTGTTTTTTTTTTTAAAAAAAGATGTATTTAAAGTTCTCTGGTGGTATAGTGCCTACGGCATTTGACTACTAACCAGAAGGCTGGCGGTTCAAACCCACTAGCTACTCCTCGGAAGGAAGATGGGGCAATCTACTTCCGTAGAGATACCACCTTGGAAATCCAAGGAGGGGTCACTATGAGTTGGAATTGACACGATGGCAGTGAGTTTTGTGTTTATCATTTTATTTTGATTTTTAAAATTGTGACTTGGAAATTCAAAATCATTTGGGAAAAAAAAAAGGGGGACCAGGTTTGCTGGTCTGATGGAGCCTGGAGACTATGGCCCCTAGCTGCCCTTCAGGTCTGGCTTCAGGTTTGGTTTCCAGCCAAACAAAACACAAGCATATGAGTTGAACATTTACCTGAGGTAGATACACTCCTTGGAGAAAACAACCCTGGGAGAATAGATGGGCTGTGTATGCAGAGAGAGACAGCTCAGGGGGCAGGAGTGCATGGAGGGAAGAACACAGGGAAGAGGTAACTATTGGGAAGAAGAGGGAGGGGAGCTGTTGCATTGGGGTAAATTGTGGTCAATGTCATGAGACAAAGTGTGTGTGAACTGTTGTATGGAAAGTGAATTTGCTCTGTAAACTTACACCTAAATCACAATAAAAACAATTTAAAAAAAAAATTGTGACAGGTGAAACTTTACAGAATAAATTGGTTTTCTATTCAACAGTTCATACACATTTTCTGTTGTGGCATGGATTGCTAGACCCACAATGTAACAGCACTCTTCCCATTTCTTCCCTGTGTTTCCCATTTCCCTCCATCCTTCTTTCCTATCTCTTCCTGCCTTCTTAGCTTTATCCCAGGGCAAATGCTGCCCTTTTGATACTGTATGGTTGATTGTTCTAATGAGTGCATACCTTTCTGGTATTACTGTTCACCTTATAGACCCAGGGCTGTTCTTGGTGGCTAAGGAATGACTGGAGCAGCAGACAAGCTGGCCCTTAAATCAGCCAAGCTACTGTCCTACCCTGGTGTGTGAGTACCTGTTTCTCCCAGTAGAGCCATGCCCTCCCGCCAACCACCCACACCTGCCTGCAGGTGAGGTACCCAGCTCACCTCCACAGTCCTCCGCCGGTCAATGCCCAGCATGTGCATGATGCCCAGCACCTGCTCATTGTAGTCACCCAGGTTGGAGTTGTAGTCGTGTGCCATGAAGGCCAGGGAGGTGGGCTGCGGAAGAGCTGGCTCTGCCTGTATCCACCGGTGCTGCTTGATCTGGGCAATAGTGATGCGCTTAGCAGGGTCCACGACCAGCATGCGGCGGATTAATGACTCACAGTCTGCAGAGGGCAGAGGGAATACACTGAGCCCTGCTGTGAACCAGGTCACCACTGGGGACCCTCATGGTCCTTTTCAAGGCACCAGCTCCCCCGTGTCCTGCAGGGTGAGCAAACTAGAGTCATCAAGGGCAAGGGCCAAGGCCAAAAGCTCCGATGTCCCACGTGAGCTGTTGCCTGAGGTATCTGGCCCTGGAAGGACATGACCTTGATCTTTCTAACATCCACAGACAGAGAACCTCTTAGCCTTTCCACCCTACTCTGTGACTGCATGCTTTAGTAATACTAGGCCAAGGCTCTTTATGCAACAAATCTCTGGGGAAAAAGCAAGTGTTTGGAGGTGGCCAGTGGGTATGACTAAAGGTGGGGGCACAGCCTGGGGTGATGGCCTGAGAGGGACCCCAAAGAGCTAGCTCACAAGGAGACTTCACCACAGAGGGCATTGCACCCTGAAAGTAGGACACTGAGAGCCCTGTGTGGTTGGGTTTCTCCGCGGGCATCGCGTCCATGCACCATGGTGACAGGATGATTCACAACCTCTACCACATGCCAGAAGACAGTGGAGCAGGCATTTCAGGAAATTAATTCCTCCCCTCCTTTCAAATAAAGCTCCAGGTTAGCTTGGCCCACGCAGGGAGCAGGCCTGCCACTCACCTACCTTGAGACATGAAGAAGGGGATGCGGAAGCGGCCCTCCAGCACCCTCTGCCGCAGGGTAGGCAGGTTGGGCCCATCGAAGGGCAGCGAGCCACAGACCAGCACGTACAGCACAACACCAAGGCTCTGCGGACACCAAGCAGCACAGATTAGAAGTCAGCAGACACCCCACAGCACCCACCATGGCACAGCCCCGCACAGACCCCTTACCCAGATGTCAAGCTGGGGGCCTTCATACTCCTTCCCTTCAAAGACCTCTGGGGCAGCATATGGGGGGCTCCCACACCATGTAGACAGTGCCTCTCCTGACTTGTAGAAATTCCCAAATCCAAAATCTGAGGGGGAAATAAGTGGATAAGGTAAAGCAGGAACAACACAGGCTGCAGTTCCACAGCCGTCCGTAGCACCCCCAAGAGCACTATATCAGTTCCAGGCACACATGGGCATCCTTGCCTGCCAGCTTGATGTCCATATTGCTGTCCAACAGCAGGTTCTCGGTCTTGAGATCCCGGTGAACGATGTGGTGGCTATGACAGTACTCCACGGCTGAAAGGATCTGCCAGAACTTCTTCCGTGCTTCCTCCTCGCTCAGGTGCCCATTGGAAGTCAAATAATCTGAGTAGGGACAAGGCAAAGCCATGACCTCAAATTCAGTGGTCTGTCCTCCCTCCTAGATACAACTGCAATAAGCTATGGAAGTTTAAGGCATGTGGGCCTAAATGCTACAGGGAATTCTGGACACCCTTTATTAAAAATAAGTGTGACTTACCAAACATCTCTCCATTTTTTGCAAACTCAGTGACAATGTAAAGCATGTCCTTGGTTTCCATAACCTGAAAAAAATAAAGACCTACCATTTAACCACCAAAAAAGGGAACATACCAACGGTATGAATGATTCACTTAAAGCTCAATAAGTTTTTAATTTCTCTCGGATACATGCATTCATCATTTTAAAAAGGAAAGAGCAAAACTTCTGCAATAAATAACAAGTTAGGGTATTGCTATTCGGAAAGAAGAGTGCCTGGGTGCAAACAGTTAACAAGCTCAGCTGCAAACTGAAAGGCTGGAGGTTCAAGTGCATCCAAAGATTCCCTGGAAGAAAGGCCCGTAATAATCTACTTCTGAAAAGGCAGCCTTGAAAAATCCTAAAAAATACAGCTCTATTCTGACACACGTGGGGTTGCCATGAGTCGGAGCTGACTCAACAGCAACTGGCTTTTTTTTTTTTTTAATTCAAAAAGAGATTTTAAAAAAAGAGGTCAATTTCTCATCAGCTTGCCTATCTCAATTTATCTTTGTTCTTTAAAAAGAGCAAATATATTAAAATATTTTTATGTCATTGTATTAACGCAGGTTGCCAATACACCTCTTGTGGACACTAGAGGCTATAGATCTAAAACAGATGGTTAGTCTTCTGTTAGGACTTTCTGTTACAAAGTCATAGATTATTCAAGCTGCTCTTCAAGACCAGAACAAACTGAAAAATAGGTAACAAATAGCTCATTCCCACATTTTTTATTAACGTGATAAATGAGGCTGAAAGAAGACAGCTTTGCCAGGTTAAGATACAATCGGCTGCCCTTTGTCCAGCAAATTCTTCCACGTGTCACCAGCAACAGCCAATGTCAATATATAACTTAATTCTTAATTCTTGATCAAGAATTTTGCTTGGAAAACCTTTTCAAAAAAGCTGAAAATTTGTAACTAATTAAGAAACAAGATAAAATTCAAGTTTTTGGCATTGAAATTAGTCAAACAAACTCATATACATATTCAAACCCACCAGCCATTCCACAGAAGAAAGATGGGGTGGTTTGCTTCCATAAAGATTTATAGCCTTGGAAACCCAATGGGGGTCACTATGAGTCAGAATCAACTCGATAGCAGTGAGTTTGGTTTATATATATATGTGTATGTGTATATGTGTGAGGAATACACATATAAATATTTCAGAAGAGAGAGAGATGTTTTTATAGAAAAAAGACTTCTTTGGGTTCAAATTATAGCATTATTTCTTTGACAAGAGCTTTTAAAGACAACTATACTGAGCCATAAATCTAACGAGAAAAGTGAACATCCTGCAGGTTAGCTGAATTTTTAACCGATCCTGTTCCCAAAGGCTGTGGGAGAATTAGTAAGACAGTCGCTGCTGACTTGTTTCCTCCATTAAAGAAAAAGCAGCAGCCCTTGCTGCTGCAGAAGAAGAATTATGAGTACAAATGTTTTAAGGTTTCAAAAATCTGAAGGGAAGAGCAAAGTGTCTCAGCAGGGTACTGGGGCCTTTGCCAGCTGGCTGAAAAGTAGATAGGAGTGTGAAAACCAGAGTAATAAAAGTCCTTGCCACATTCCTCAATTCAAGAGTCTCTAAAACAGTTAAAGAATTACACACAGCAAGAAGAAAATTCACCTGCAGAAAAGACGTCTACCATCAATCATATGTGTAATTCGTTTAGGTAACTGGTCTAATTCCACAACTACAGGCAGAAGGGTGGAACAGCAAGAAAAGAAAAAACAAAAGGTACAGTAAGGGCCAGCCCTTCAGCAAAGTCAAAGCAGAAACACTGAGCCTACTCCTGACGGGAGGCAATTCTCAAAGCAAATGACATCAAGCACTGTTGAAAAAATTTATTTTGTCGGCTCAACTTAAAAATGACAACAGAAACAAAACACAAGCCCTAGGTGCCCACGATGTGAGTTTGATACTGAAAGACCCCTATTAAACTGTCCTGTCAGTGAAAACACAGCCAATAATCCTGCTTCTAACCTTGTTTTAATCAAGTAGGACCTTCTATGAGATAATTTTCAACTATAATCAATCTCTATCCTACGGTGCTTTTCAAGGAGACCCTGGGTAGCACTCAACTACTGGCCAAAAGGTTGACAGTCCAGACTCACCCAGACGTGCCTCAGAAAAAAGGCCTGGCAATCTGCTTTTGAGAGGTCACAGCCTTCAGAACCCTATGGAGCACAGTTCTACTCTGCACACATGGATTTGCCCTGAGTTGGAACTGACTTGACTGCAACTAACAACATCAATCAATCCCATTTTTTCACCTAGCCTTGCCAATCTGGAATATAAACATACATGACCATCTCATGTTCATCTCAGATCCATGGCTTCATGAGAATCACTGAAAGGAGTTTATATCCAACACAAATAGATGAAATACTGAGTATATGCAAAGAATTTATCCTTCTGCAAGTAGATGTGACTTCATCTTTGCAAAAGTAGTCAGTTATTAGTGGGGTAGGGAGGATTGCTTTGTTGACCTAATTAAATCAGTATTTACTTCTCAAAGATACGATTTACTAATTTCAACAGAAGTATAAAAATAAAGTCACAAAACACCAACGGATGGGTAGTGTCAGGCTCGTTCCTAACTTGGATTAAATTACAAATTCCTTGCTCTTCACATTGCTACAGTACTGTCAACTCTCTATTTCTGATGGAAAAGTTCAAACAGGGAAGACAAATGCTCATTGCTGCTCAAGCAAAAGTAAGTTAATGAAAACTTGGTAAAGCAGCCGGTTTTAAAATTTAATGATTATCTGCAAGGGAGAAGTTCTAGTTCCACTCAAGTTCATTATTAAATGCTAGACCTGTGACAATACCATAGACTGGTTATTTTCACTGTAAAGTAAATATAACAACCAATCTCTATGCATTTAAAACTGGAACAAATTGCAATACTAAATAAAATTTTAATGACGCAAATCTCAATTATGATCCACTGAAAAACTGCAAATCTGCTTACTATTTAATCTATGAACAAACAAGAACTGGGTTACTCGAAGTTCTACAACTATTCCCGATGCTTTCCTATGTCAAAAGTATGCCTTTCTTATACTTCTCTCTACCTGAAACATCCTTTTCTCTATTCGCAATGGAGCAAATTCTGCCTCCCCCACCAAAAAAATTAATAAATAAAACTCATTATGATTCAAAAGCAGGAAAATAATTGTAAATATATGAGCATACATTATAAAAATCAATTTATTGGGCTTAAATGACCAACTCTTGGATTCTCCACACACACACACCCCCCCAAAAAAGGACAACCTTCAGAGACCACAGACTTATTTTGTTGAAAACACTTTCAGGATCAATAGTGAAAGGCAAACTTGAGCCCTTACCTGATAAAGTTTTATGATGTGAGGATGGTTCAAAAGCTTCATAATCTGAACCTCTCTATATATTTTCTCCAAATTGCTTGGATCTAATCTTGTTTTATCGATTATTTTTATTGCAACCTACAAATTTTAAAAAGAAAAAAAAGATGTTTTATTTGAAAAAGCACTCTCTTAACCTAATCTACCCATTTCATTTTTTGGCAGGTTAATTTCTAAAATACTTTACCCAACAGGTCACAAAAACAACTGGGGGATAAAAAAATAACAAAAGTAACCAGTGACATTACCAAATAATCAAAGTTAAATAAACACCTGAAGTGTTGAAGGGTCAATTCCTGCTTCAGCTGTGAATCCCTGGACACCGCACTCCTTGTTTTTTGGTCAATAGTCTTTTGTCATCCTCTTAATATTTGTACCAATAATGCAGAAACATAAAGGATTTTTTTTTCTTCACCGAACTAGAAACTGCCAGCGTTTGGACATTAATGCAATCAACCGCACAGGCACGGAACGCACCATGCAGACCCCAGGGTAGGTAAGATTCCCTCTCCCAGATTCTGCCCTGGCCCATCCCTTCTCGGGCGATCCAAGTCTGGTCCGGGAGCCGCCAACCACGCACCTGGGTTTTGGTGACTCTATGCCGTGCCAGCTTCACTACCGCGAAATTGCCTTTGCCTAGGGTCCGCTCAATGTCGTAAAAGCCCACACGGAGGGGCTTCTGCTGGCCCTGGCCTGAGCCCGCGGCCGCCGCGCTGAACTCCGACATGATCACCATGGCTCTGGCGGCCGCACCTGCCGGACAAGTGAGAGGAAGACGCGTTCAACACCAGCCGACCCCTGCCCTCGACCTGGAATCCCCGACCCAGACTCTTCCGCCCGGACCCCAGAGCCCGAAGCCTCCGCTACCGAATTCTCCAACGCCCAGACCTCCCGCGCCTGGATACCCTGACATGGACCCGCCAACCCGGCGCCCCCAAGCCTGCATTCCGCGACCAGGACGCCTCGCGCTCGCCTTGCCCCTCAACGGTGCGCGTACAGCCAGCCGCACGCGGTCAGATTCCACTTCAGACTTCACAGTCTGGCGCCGGGCGCGTAGAATCCCTCCCACAGTCGCTCCCCTTCGCCTGCCATGGGTTTTACTCCGGCCCTCAGATCCCCTTAACCCGGCACGAAGACCGCATCCTACACACGTTCCCCGCCGCCCGCGGTCAGTTCTACTCTGACTCCCTTATCCCGGCGCGGGGCGTACAGATCAGTTCCCACACCCGCTCCTCGCCGCCCGCGGTCGGCTCCACTCCGAACTCCCGGATTCCCTTTTCGGGGCATGTAGACCAGTCCCCCTCTTACAACTGCCTCCAGCAGTTGGCTTCACTTCTGCCTCGAACCCCTTTGCGCGTAGATCCCCCTCCCACACACCACCCGCCCCACAACAAAAGGGATCCCGGCGGGCGGCGAGACCGGCGTCCCCGCCCGCAATCCTATGTGCGCGCACCCGCGAAGCTACGGGGACCCCGACCAGCCGTCGGAAGCCGCGTCCCCGCTCGGCTGCAAGTGGCGAACCCCACACCGCCGCGGGCCAACTCCGACCGCGCCACCGCCGCCGCCGGCGCAGAACCTCCCGCTGCTCACCTCCGCCGCCCTCGGGCGGGCCCCTCCGGACAACAGCTCGGAGCTGTCAGGCTGGGATTCACTAGCTAACCCGCAATCTCCGTCGCCCGCACGCTTCTCGTGCCGCTCCGGCTGCTGCTGCTCCTCGCGCCGCCGACACTGCTGTTGCCGCCGCCGCCCGGCAGCCACCGCATGTCAACTCTGAGGCCGGCGCCGCGCGCTCTCCGCAGATGCGGTGAGGCCCCGCCCACCGCCTCCAAGCCCCGCCTTGTGCCCGCCCCGCCGACCCTAGTCCCCGCCCTGCATCC